TGAAATTCTCTTTCTGTATGTTGGAGGATAGATAATGAAACATTTTTCCCTTATCCAGGTAAAGAGGTGGAAGTCTTTGGATTCAGAATGTTATACACAGTGGCAGATGTGTTTAACTGTGTTAATCACTTTTGTTCAGCTTTTTCTTTGAATCAAGAGAAAATTTTATGGGTGAAAATATACCAAGAAATGCATAAAAAGAAAATCATCACCTCAATTTTAAAATAATTTGAGTAATATTAAATGATAAAGTACAACCAAAATAATTATTTTATCCCTATAATGTTGTTCAGTCATTTCACTCATGTTTGACTCTGTGACTCCATTTGGGGTTTTCTTGACAGAGATACTTGAGTGGTTTGTGATTTCCTTCTCCAGATTGTTTTATACATGAGGAAATTGAAGTAAACAAGGTTAAGTGACTTGCCCATGTTCACAGAGCTAATTTGAGGCCAGATTTGAATTCAAGTCTCTCTGACTTCAGGCTTGTGCTCTATCCACTGTACCACCTAGCTGCCTCCTATAACTTTCATTTATTATTATTATTATTATTATTATTGGTATTGTAATGATTATTGTTCTTTCCAGCTACATTAGGGTCATCTTTTTAACCCATTTTGCCTATTACTTCACATTGCACTTTAAAAAATCTTTTTTTTTTTCAGGTCAATTTTTAAACGCATGCACTTTTTAGTGGCAAGCATTTTGTCATTGTTGGTTATTTTGACTATAAGTGCAGGATCCTGTTTTATATGGCACCTTGCTACTGTGGAACTTTTTTTTTTTCTTTTGGCTGTTTTCATTAAGACATTCTCTGCCAAGCAAAACAGTAGGGGGGGAAACTATAAAAGAGCTTGAAAATACTAAAAAAAGAAATAAGTGAACAAGCAGTGATCTAAACATAACTGGGAGTACTATTCCCATGACCTATGACCAAAAAAGTGAAAAAAAGAAAAGAAAATGTACATAATCGAGAATGAATTTCTTTTCAGAACCACAGACCTTTATCATTAAATGGAGCAGTATTCACTCTACATAGCATGTGAGTAGTTATGCTAAAACAAAATATTCTAACCCAAGTCTGAGATAAGATTGCTGAAAATCAGACAAATCTGATTTAAATTTCCTCCTTAAAGAGGGTTTATAAAGTGAAGAATGACACAAAGTGGTTTCAGCAAAGAAAGCCATGTTATGAACCATCTTTGCTTGCTGCAGGTTTTGCAGCTTACCATAAAAAATGAAATCAGTAAAGCTATGTGGTGATATAAGCAGCAAAGAATTTTGCTCAAACCAGGCAGGCTAAATGAGCTCTGATAATATATACAATTATAAAATCAAATTGCAAACATGATTGGATATTTAATGGCAACAGTGCTTTAAAAATTAATTATATGCCATCTTTGATCCAGGTACACCATTCACCATTCAATGATTTATTTAAGCCACAAATGGCTTGCAATACTTAAACTCAGATTAGTAGTGAAGATGAAATACAGTAACACAAAGTCTCTTGTAGTTAGCATAACAATTTTTTCATTTTTACAAATGGAATAACTTAAATAAATCAAATTGGACCCAATTTCAAGTTTGTTCCCCCTCCCCCAACCAACATAATTTTTGGGGAAAAAAGACTACTCACAGAAGAGATGTAATTACATTTTGGAGGGCAGAGGTATATCAGTAGCTATATGGGAAACAGGCCATTTATTTGATGCCTTGGAAGAGTACATTAATCTTGCAAGGGTAAACAGCTTACCATAATCATAGGATCTAGCCTGACATCGTTTATATCTCCTGACATTTATATCACATTTCTCCACTCAGCTCAGAGCACATTAGAAACATTTCCCCATTTTTCCTCAATGAGGCACTACTTCCTCTTTCCATTTATACAGATGTTTCTGTTAGCTAGGACAGTCCATCTGTCCTTAAAATGGTTCTTGACTCCATCCTTCTAAGTGTCATGAAGCATTAAAGTTGGTCTAATGGCCAAGCAGAATTGGCCTAAAGGGATAAAACCAGACTACCTGCTCCTTAGCAGAGGGTAAATAAATGATTATTTATTTGTCTGGATTTCTGTGGAGTAATCTATGTCTGAGGTACTTTTGTGTGACCAAAGGAAAGAGAACAGTGGCCTTCCTTTCCTAAAAATTTCCCACAGTCATCTGGTATCATGGCCACCAAGTCATAGGGCAGTTAAGTGGTACAGTGAATAGAGTGCCAGCCCTGGAGTTAGGAAGACTCATCTAAGTGAATTCAAATCTGGCCTTAGATTCTAACTAGCTGTGTGACCCTGGGCAAGTCACTTCACCTTGCTTGCCTCAGTTTCCTCATCTATAAAATGAGCTGGAGAAGTGGCAAGCCACTCCAGTATCTTTGCCAAAAAACAAAACCCAAATAGGGTCATAAAGAGTCTGACACAACTGAACAACAAAGCCAGCAAGTCATTCAGTCCTGGGGAGTACTACTATAGGCTCTGTAATGGCAATCAAATTCAATGTTAAGAGAAGGCAGCACAGTGTGGTAAAAAGAATGTCTGATTTGGATTCAAGAGACCTGAGTTCATAGGTCAGCTTGGCTTCTTAATATCTATGTGATGTTGGGTAAGTGCTATAGTGGAAAAAGAAAGACCCAAGTTGATTTGCTGCTAGCAAGGTGACATTTGGCACTTATTATATGGCAGACAGACACTGTGGTAGGCCTTGTGTATACTAGGAGAAAAGCAAAATAAAGTTCTTAAATCATGACATTTATATCCTAATCAAGGAGATGAACACGCTCATATATAAGTATATTCAAAATTGGATAAAACGTAGATAAAATAAAACTTTTGAGGGTGGATTCACTAGCAACTAGGGGGAACAGGAAAGCCTCATGTAGAAGAAGGTGACACTTGAGTTGGGTCATGAAGGAAACTAAGGATCCCAAGAGGTAAAAGTGAGCAAGAAGTAATTTCAGGTATGAATGTCATGTAAAGCAAAGACACTGAGATGGGAGGCAGGATGTCACATACGAGGAAGAATACATGAAGGGGAGCAATATGCAAAAAGTTTGGAAAGGTAAGTTGGGGTCAGTTTGTAAACAGCCTTTAAGGCCAAACAAAGGCATTTGCTTGGATCCTAGAGGTTATCACCTCTAGAAACCCTTGTAATTTTGACTTATGGAGTGACATGTTGAGGCATGCCCTTTAGGAAAATCATTTTGGCAGCTATGTGACACGTAGACTGTAGAAGGGAGAGATATGAGGCAGGGACCCCAATCAGGAGGCTACTACAATGAAGGCAAATCATTTACTTACTCAGGGCTACACTGAGCTCATCTGTAAAATGAAGGGATCATTATAAATCTTATGATAACAAGTACCAATCATCAGAGAAAAAAGCTGGAAGTGCTTTAGAGGCTGGCAATTTTTTGTTAGCTGCAGATTTGTAAAAATATTTAATTATTTAATTTGAATATTCAAATTTAAATGTTTTGTTTTTTTAATATTTAAATAATTAAATTTAGAGTTAAACATTCCACCTATGTCGCAGTTCTCTGTTGGGTAAAAGGCAATTTGTAATTTTTTTTTTCTCTTTTACCTGCTCCTGATAGTTAAGCCTATTTCTGGTTCTAAAACCGAAAAACAGGTGGAATTACCAAAACAGCTACAGAAAAAAGAACCCCCTACCTAATTCTTTATAGGAGGGACCTGTGTGGTAGATCTCAGGCCATTTATCATTATTCTCAATAAGAAGATTAGGAAGATAAACCAGAAAAATGATTTGTGTCATGTTAATCATTAACGGGAAAGTTAATCCTCACTTTTTTTTTCAGCAGACTTTACCCAGTTGCTAAGAGGTCCCATAATTGCTACCTGAGAGTTCGATCCACCATGAGAGTACAATGAAGAGGAAATATTTCACTGTTTACTATCATATGTTTACCTAGGTCTGCTATGGTCTCAGGTTACTTGAAGGGTTCAATTAAATCTTCAAATGATAGAGAGTTGCAAAGGTTAGTGAACTTAGTAGATAACCAAATAGAACATGCAAAAAGTCTGGAAAGATAGGCTGAAAATAACATGATGAGATGTAATGGCATAAAGGCTTGCATGATGTAGTGAGTAAGCCCTGCACTTAAAAAGGCATGGGACACAAAAAAGTCCTGACTGCAAGTCCAATCTTTGATACATACATATATACTGGCTATGTGACCCCAAGCAAATCAATTAACCTCCTTTTGATGACCCAAACAACACTCTTAAGGCTGTAAGTTACAGAGCAGGTGAAGGATTATTATTGGTAGAGTCCCTTACCAGGAGTTTCCTCTTGCACCAACGAAATCACAAATCTGATCTTAAAAAAAAAAAAATCCTAAAGCTGGATTCAGAAATTCAACTATGGGAATATAAAAGGGTAAAGCAATGATAGAAAGCAGTGACTAACGAGTTTTATTTTAAGGGCAGCAAGGTGGTACAGTGGATAGAGCTCCGGCCTTGGAGTCAGAAGGATCAGAGTTCAAATGTGACCTGAGACACTTGACATTTACTAGCTGTGACTCTGGGCAAGTTACCTAAACCAATTGCCTCACCAAAAAAAGAATTTTATTTTAGTTGTCTTTCAGTACAATAGTTGAAATGGAAAGCAGTGTATCATAGTTGTTAGAGAAATAGATTTTTGGTCAAAAAGATCTCAGTTAAAAATCTACCTCAGACACTCACTAGTTATGGCACTACAGGCAAGTCATCAAGCCTCTCTCCCTCAATGCTTTCTTTATCTGTAAAGTTGGAATAGGAATTCCTCCAACACAGAGCTTTTGGATAACATCTGTAAGTTGTTTTGCAAACCCTGAAGCACTTCTATGAATGACAACTACAATGACTTAGAAAGAAAATAAACATGAAAATACATGAATTATATTACTTTACCATTCTGACCAGTATTTTTTTCTGATTTCTCAATAATTATGTCACGAATTTGCATCAAAGACCTAATGACCGAATTCTGGATTTTACCTACCTGAGGTACCCATTTGGAAGATACAAAGCTGGTTACTTCTATGACTGATAAGCCTGTTTTAGAAAGTTGGTTGATAAACTCAATTTTTATATCTGTAGGTACAATGACCTAGAAGAGAAAAAAAAAACCAAACTTCAGTATTAATATACTGAGAGACCTATAGTTGCAAGAAGAAAAAAAAAATTAATCCAAAGGCAACAGATTTACAAAATGAAATAACAGATGTAAAGACCTTGGTCAATCTTAAAGCATTACATAGATGCTAGCTCTTAATATTATTAAAGGAATTATACAAATACTTACTAAGGATACATATTTTTGTATACTTACATCTGTACACGTCTTCCTCTGATAGAATGTAAGTTCCTTGAGGACAGGGATAGTTTCATTTTTGTCTTTTTTATCACCAGGACCTAGCATCGTATCTGGCATGAAGTTGGTACTTATGAAGTATTTGTTGATTAATAAATGATGCTATTCATAAAATATTACTTGATATTTTTAATATGAACATTCAATTAATAGCATAAATCTTGTGAATATATTCATTTACCTTTTCATTTTGTAAGCCATCCCTGGGTCCAACTTCTACTATTTTAACATACTCAGGAAATCCCGATAATTGTGTTATCTGAAAAAAATCATAAGAAAAAAAGATAACTTTTAAATTATCAGAATTACTCAACTAAAATTGAAGAATTACTATAATGGTTGGAGAGACCATTTAATTTAATTACAACTGACAAAAAAAGTCTTTATACCAGATGTAGCAAGTGGTTTATTGTATTCAATTCAATAAATATTTATTTATAATTTTTGCCTGGCATTATTCAAGGTGCCAGGATCCAAGGACATACACAAAATAATTCCTGCCCTCAAAGAGCTTCCATTGTACTGGGAAGATAAAAAAAATATGCAAAGATATACAAATAAAAGGCGATTTGAGGAATAAGGGAGAATTAACTTCTTGGGGGCATCAAGAAACTATTCAATGAAGAGAAAGAACTGAACTGAATGAACCTAGTGCTTAACAGTGTCTGACATAAAGTAGGCACTTAAATGTTTTTTGACTTAGAAGAACAAAGATTTCTGAGAGGAAACAGTGAGGAAGAAATAAGTACCATGGTAGAAAAAAGATTACACAACTGCTACAGCCCCGGATGGAATGCAGAGATTTTTGTTGTTCAGTCATGTTCAATTCTTTGTGACCCTATTTGATGTTTTCTTGGCAAAGATAATGGAGTGATTTGCCATTTCTTTCTCTGGCTCATTTTATAAGTGAGGAAATTGAGGCAAACAGATTTAGGTGACTTGCTGGAGGTCACTTGGCTAGTAGGTGTCTCAGGTCAGATTTAAAATCAGGAAGATGAGTGTTTCTGACTCCAAGCCTGATGTTTTTATCCACTGTGACTGCTAGCTGCCCCGTGCAGAGATTGGGAAATAGTTATTATTCTCCAAAGATTTTAATAGTAATATAGGAAGATCATATCTATCTCATTTATAGAAAGGGTATATACCCTGGAGTTGGGTTAAGTATCCTGGCCCATTCTTAAGGGACATGCGTTCTAGCCCCTTCCTTGGGGGGATGAAATGAACTCCCATGATCAATACCCAGTGACTAGTCATGTTACCTAATTAATGATAGTGACTAAGAATATGGGATGGGAACACTCTTTTAAGAAACAAACCCTTTTTGAGGTGGAGCCAAGATGGCGGAGGGAAAGCAGTGACTTGCTTGAGCTCTCCTCCAAAACCCCTCCAAATACCTATAAAAAATGTCTCTACACAAATTCTAAAGCAGCAGAACCCACGAAAAGACAGAGTGAAACAAATTTTCAGCCAAAGACAGCCTGGATGGTTGATCAGAAAGGTATATCGCACCAGGTGGGGAGAGGAGCGCAGTTCGGCGTGGTCATGCAGGCCACAGTGATCCTGGAGCAGGCGTCAGAGGACTGAATCATGGACAGCTGTGGCAGCTTCCAGACTTCTCAACCCATGAACACCAAAGACAACTTGGAAGGTCAGTGGGAAAAGTCTGTGATTGTGGTGAGGGAGGAGCTAGGTCTCAGCCGCAAGTCCCTAGGGCAGCAGCTACCTCCTGAGCTTCAGGCCCACAGATTGAGGGGAAATTGAGTTGCTGATCAGAGGGGGATTGCAGGGTTCTCTTGCTTTGCCAGTGCTTGGATCTGGGTCACAGTTCTGAGGGGCGGTCCTGGGGCTAGGAGGAGCTCTGGTGTGGTGGAGCTTGTTGTGGTGGTGGAGAGGAAACACCTTGCCCCTTATCATAGCACCTTGGAAGAACTGAAATTTACAGGTCCCTAGAAGTAGCTCTGAAAACAGCTGTACAAACCCCCAAAGCTTGGGACAGTACACTCTTCACATTGGAAGCAGACTTTTACCTTAACAAAGAGTTTAAAATTCAAGTAATTGGCTGGGATCATGAGTAAGCAGCAGAAAAAGAGTCAGACTATATTATCTTACTTTGGTGACAAAGAAGATCAAAACATACAACCAGAAGAAGAAAACAAAGTCAAAGCTCCTACATCCAAAGCCTCCAAGAAAAATATGAATC